ATCCCATGTGATCTAACCTTACTAATCAGTATACCATGTGGGAACTTGTCAAAGGCCTTCCTAAAATCCATGTAGACAATATCTACCGTTCTGCCTTCATCTACCTTCTTGGTAACCTCTTCAAATAATTCAATCAAATTTGAGAGTCATGATTTTTCAATGCACAATGCCATACTAATTATCCCTAATTAGTCCTTGCCTTCTAAATGCATGTAAATCCTCTTTCTCAGAATCCTCTCCAACAACTTACCCACCATTGACATCAAACTCGGCGGTCTATTGTTCCCTGGCTTTTCCCATGTGTGAAGACATAAGAAAGTGGCAAACGGCTATAGATAGGTTGAGCAAGTGGGCAAAAATCTGACAGATGGAACACAATGTAGGAAAACACGAAGCTGTTCACTTTGGTGGGAAGAATAAAAAAAACAAAAGTATTACTTAAATGGTGAACAACTCAGAATTCTGAGGGATTTAGGTGATCTGATGCATATGTGGATTGAGCAGGTGACTCACAAGGATGGAGTGGATAGACTAGGCTAGTTTCTACTGGACTTAGAAGACCAAGGGGTGACTTAATTGAAATATAAAAATTCTGGATGGTCTTGACAAGATGGAAATGGAAAGACTGTTTCCTCTTGTGAGTCGGTCCAAAACTAGGTGGAACTGTTTTAAAATTAAGAGTTGCTCTTTCAGAACAGGAGATGAGAAGAATTTTGTTTTCTCCGAGGGCTTGCGGCTCTCTGTTGGGTTCTGCAGGACTCCGTGCCAGGGCCCTTGCTCTTGTGGTGTCCATCATTAATCTAGACTTAAACATAGGGGATATAATCAGGTAACTTACAGATGACACAAATATTAGTAAGGTGGTAAACAGTGAGGAGGTGGACGACAGGTGGATAGCAATGGACTGCTCAGAGGCAAATGAAATGCAACTTTGGAAAATGTGAGGTAATCCCCTTGGGGGAAGGCTAATAAAGGAATACACTAAATGGTCAGACCGTGGCAAGTGCTGAAGATCAGAGCGACCTTGGTGTGCATATTTACAGAACCCTGAAAGTAGCAGGGAAGATAGATAAGGTGGTTAAGCCTTTATTAGTTAAGGCATAGAATACAAGAGCAGCAAGGTTACGCTGCAACTGTATGGTCGTAACAGGAGTACTATGTACAGTTCTGGTCACATTTATAGGAAAAATATGATGGCATCCAAGGGGATTTAATCAACTTTCCTACACTGCAGAGTGAAGCTATGAGGAAAGACTGCAGGTCATTTTCCGTGGAGCAATGTAGGTTGAGCAATAACCTCATTGAGGTGTATAAGATTATGAGAGGCATAGATAGGGTGAAAAGGAATGCACTTTTTTCAATCGTAGAGGGGTCAATAACCAGGGAGGCATAGGTTTAAGGTAAGAGGAAGCAGACTAGGAGGAAAGTGATTTACTTTTCCACCTAGAAGGTGATGGGAGTCTGGTACTCTGCCTGAAAGAGTAATCAAATCAAACTCACCTGACATTTAAGTAGTACTTAGATATTCACTTATGCTGCCATAGCTTCCAACACTATGGCCAAAGAGCTGGAAAACAGGATTAGTGTAATCAATCTTTGTTGACTGGTACATATATGATGGGTTGAGTGTACTCCTCCTGTGCCGTAAATGTCTAAGGCTCCCGAAGCCAAATTTCTATTCTTCAATTTGCCTTTTGGTTAACACGTATCACTCAAATTCTGTAGAACCTCCCCAGGGAAAATCAACATGCATCATAAAGCAGTCTGCCAGATTTCCCTTTGCAATACCAGTAGAACAATGCATTAAGTTTAAATTAGAATAAACAACCTATTTTCAAGGAGACAGATCTAACAGAAATACCATACCCTCAATGCAGCATTTAACACAAACATATTTGTTAAATTTCCAAAACTTCCCTCAATGTCACCAGCTTCTTTATGTGGTTTTAACAATACCAAGCTTTGAGACATTCCACTCTGCAAAAAATGCAGCATTTTTTTTCAACTGATTTACATTCCCTGTAGTATGTTGCAAAAGGAGCCAAGATGATCATCAAGATCATTTCTCCTGCAATTAATCAACATACATGAACGTTTTGATTACTTGATCACTCTATTTCTCTTTAAAACCCTGAGCCACTATTCTGGCTTTAGCCTTAATGCCATCAGGAAGCACTTTTACTGTGCATATCCATCTGTATGATAAGGCTGTTGTTCCCTATCTGGTAACTCAATGTACACATAAAATTATTTCCAGCTCTCGATGAACTCTTTTGTTTTATTAACTTATCTTCTAACTTGCTTGGAGACACTAAAGCTTTTCAATCATAAGGACGTTTACTTCTCATAGTATTCCCAGTTTCTTCCATAGTCCTGATTCTTGTCAAACAGTAACCTCCACTTGCTCTCTTGTTCTGGACTACTCTATAAAGATCTCCCAAACCTGTGATCAGAATTCTTTTCACAAGTTCACAATCCCTTCTTAGAGTCATGTTCACTTCCGGTCCACTTTCAGAAACTGCACTGTACTGTGTTTTCTGGCCTTCCAAGTCTTCTTTTATCATTTTGCCAAAACATCAAGCTTTTTTTTTTATTGCTGTCCCTAGTTGTCCTTGAGAAGGTGCTGGTGAGATGCCTTCTTTAACAACTGCAGTCCATGTGACCCAAAATGGTATCAAGGAGGGAATTCCAGGACTGTGACCCAGCAACGGTGAAAGCGCAGTAATTTATTTCCAAGGCAGGATGGTGAGTAGCTTGGAAGAGAACTAGCAGAGGGTGTTCCCATGTATCTGCTGCCCTTGTCCTTCTAGATGGAAGTGATTGTGGGTTCAGAAGGTGCTGTCTGAGGATCTTTGGTGAATTTAAGCAGTGCATCTTGTAGATAGTACACATTACGGCTACTGAGTGTCAGTGGTGGAGGGAGTGGATGCTGGTGGATGTGATGCCAATCAAGTGGGCTGCTTTGTCCTGGATGGTGTCAAGTTTCTTGAGTGTTGTTGGAGCTGCATTCACCCAGGGAAATGGGGAGTATTCTATCACACTCCTGATTCGTGCCTTGTAGATAGTGGACAGGCTTTGGGGAGTCAGGAGCTAAGTTACTCCTAACCTGTGAAAAGACGGATGGGCAAACTGCCAATGTGGCTAAAAGATAAGTAGCCTCTTTTCCTTTAAACTTCTCTTCCCCGATTTCAATAACACCTCCTTAATATTTTGATTAGAGAACTTAACTCGTTAAAAAGTTGCAATAATATCCAGATTGCATAAACAGTAAATCCACTGACTTCCCAAAAATATGTTCCAAATTCAGTTTCATGTAAGCCTTTATCATTGATGGTCTGGTCAACTGTAAGGATATTTCACTCCACACTACACCTGTGTTGCTAAAGTAGCTTACCCCAGTTATTCTACAGACAGTCACCACTCCTTTTAGTGTTTTCAGCACGTTGTCATCCCCAAACCTGAAGCATGTAGAATCTCAAATTCCTGAACATTACTTTGGTCCTCACTATTGAAAGGAATCTAATTTTAACATTTTAAACATCTACTCTGCACACAGTGGATATTTATCCAGTGTTGAACACAATGCAATTGAATAAGTCTGTGGTTAAAATACTTATTATTGAAGGTTCGTGTAATCAGTACAATTCACTCTGCCTGATCAGTATATTCTCCTGATTTTTCCACGTCATTCCTAATTTCAAAAATTTTCTTATTCCATTTTAGGACAAGTCATTGCATAATGGTATTGGCATCTCTGGAGGTTTATATTCTTTTGTTACAATTCCCCAATTTCTGTTGTCTGTTACATTTGCCAACAGTATGGGTATCCTCACACTTCTTTTAGTTATAATTCTCCTTTCATATTGACCCTTTTGGCTTACATATAGACAGCCTCATATTGACACCACCACTTTTTAAAATTCAGTAGTGGGATATGGGCATGAATTCACATGAATAAGGTGGTAGTGAGCTGCACTCTTGAACCACTGCAGTCCCTTGGGTGAAGGAACACCTACAGAGCAGTTAGGAACCACTTTCCAGTATTTTAACCCTGCTACAGAGAAGGACCAGCAATCTAGTTACAAGTTTCATTCATCTGAATCTCAATTTACTGCTGAATGTCCCATTTGAGCCACAAAGACTGCTGGGAATGTGTTTTTTTTGTTGATTGCTGACATGTGTTCCAAAACCATGTCTGTTTCTGAAAATCTAATCCAGTTAATACTGGAGTATATCTATGTTCACCAGTTTAGCACAGTCCAAAACTTTAAAGGTTAAGCTATAAATCTCCAAAAAGATTTTATTCAATCTTAAATTGTTAAATTCTATTATATATTCTTCTGTGGAATAGCCATCCAGGTTTCTATATTTTATCAAAGTCTGACATGCTTTCAGCAAGTCTTCTTTATAAATCACATCCATAGATGTTACTAGATTATCCAAACCTTCCTCAGTGTTTTCTTCTTGTCTCCCTAGTTCTGATCCTTCTAGTCAAAAGTAGCAAGTGTAAGGTCATAGATTGCATTTTCTTTTGTAAGGACTAACCCACATAAATATATCTACTTCCATTGATCATTAGGCTTGGTTTGAAGAAACATCAATAGAAAGTTGAATACTGACATTTTACATCTGATTGCAGCCATTTTTCTCCAAAGTAACTCGAAGTATAACATTCTGTCTGGAAAGATCTTAGTTTCCAATATTCACCTTTAGGCAACCATCCTCAGCCACCAATGTAAACTCTAATCCAAGCTATTTGGTGAAACAGAAATCAAGATATTTCTTTGTGGATAGAGTTTATTGATTATTCAGTCTTGCAGGTCCTTCCACACACCAGCTGCCTCCCCCTTATTCTACTCAATTAAATTAACTAGCTCCAATCACCTACTTAATTACTTGCTATATTAACAATTGAAAAAGAGAGAAAAGAGAATGCTGAAGTGAATACTAGAATTAGTGTTCATTCCAATATATTTTTGTAATTGATGCCATGAACTTGCCTGTTGCTAGGAAACGATGAGTTGCTAGTAGCAGCTGTGGCGAAATCTTCACCTTCATTTCATTATCTGTCGGTTTGAAGGCTGAAAAATCCTGTTTCCTTTCCCGGTGTGTAATTTTCTTTTTGGTTCGATTATCAGCTTATAAATGTGAAAAACATTTTGAAGAAGGGAAATGGATGGAAATTAAAAATACCTTAATTAGAACATCAAAAATATCAAACAGATTCTAAAAACACTCAGCTAAGAAACTGCTTTAGAAGATGTGACTTTGTTTTCTGAAAGTAATCTGCTGCTATGCCCAACAATATAAGCTTACAGTAATTATTACCACACCCTCAAACTCTTTATGGCCTACTAACTATCTCACTTTGATTTGAAAAATATCTTGCATTGCCTTTGCGGCCTCAACTGACAAAGGCAAAGTAGGATCAAATAAGCTTTTTCTCATTTTATGTTTTCAGCTCTGGATATTAAGATACCCAGATGTACTCACTTGCATGCACTTTACCTACTGAATGGTGCATACATAAAAATTAGTAAAGTCCCAAACTGATACATTCAAAATGAAGAAAGCAAATTTCTGAATTTGTCAAACGTGAAATTCTCAATCAAAATTCCATACAACTCAGCACGTGGTATTGCATATCCTGATACTCAGGAATTTACAAAGCTAATCTAGTGGGGACCATCTGACCATCAGTGACAGCGAAAATCTGTTGACTAATGTCTCTGCGGCAAGTAATTATTCTCCTCACCCAGTCTTGCTACCAGGTAAGTCTTGACCCCAGGCCCACAGTAATATGGTCAACTCTTAACTTCGGAAATGACCTAGAGAGTCAATCGGTTCAAGGATAATCAAGGACGTGTAACTAATGACGACTGTATCAGCGCTGCCAATATTCCATGGCAGAGTGAAAGAAAAACTTACTATGCATTCCCTACATAACAAACTAAAAGTATTCATACTTTTATTCAGCTGAGTCGATTTCAGTATTTTCCTTCTTAATCTTTCAGTCACGGGAATTTAACACAACCTCAGCGTTCAATATAAAGCTTGTTAATTATTTCATTTTAAAAGCTTACTGCACTTCCATTCATTTAAACCATCTTCCATCCCCTTACCACCTCCCCCCACCCCCAACCACCCCACCACCCCCTTTTGGTGGATGTACCATTGCTTCAGTCTCTTAATGGCCAAGTACTTGATACACTACAATGTTCAATGCAGCACATTCCCACAGCGTACGATGCCAAACTTGCTGTTACACGCAAAGCTGAACCAAAATGTTGTTACATTGAAGACAGGTAGTATTATGTAAAGGTTTCTTACTCCAGCATTCCATAGAATCACAGAACCTGTACTAACATAGTAGATTGTATTGACTTCTTATACTATGTTGTCCTGAAGCTCAAAAAATAATTATTTGTTGTACACGCTAGGTGCGTTAGCCATGAAAAATGCAGGGTTACAGGGCGGGGGTGGATTTTGCGTGAGATGTTCTTCAGAGGGTCGGTGTAGACGCAATGGGCTGAATGGCCTGCTTCCACACTATAAGGATTCTGAGATTCTATTCTACAACGTTAAAAGGCTGTGCAGACTAAAGGGAGAAAAATGGGCAAACTTGTCATATGAAGAGATTCATGTCATTTCAAAAATGAGGACTGAATAATCTGTACTTTCTAACTAAGTAGTGAGCCACGCAGGAGCATGAAGGCCCCTGTAAAGCACTATAGCACTAGATAGTCAGATAAAATTATTATATAGTCTGGTCAAAATAAGAACTAAGAAACAGAAGCACAGGGACATATGAGCATGATCCACCACTCGATAAAATCAGAGCTGAGCTCTCCATTTTCCTGCTTAAATTCATTTAGTCCAAAAATCAATTAATCGCAATCTTGACATATTCAAGAAGAGCATGCACAATTCTCTGTAGAGCTGTAAAGATCCACTATTCTTTGTGTGGCGAAATATCCCATCTTTACTCTGAATGACAATCACTTATTCTGAAGTCATGCTCCCTACTTCTAAACTCTGAAGTCAGGGTACACGTGTCTCAGTATCTACTTGTCAAGACCACATTGGGCTTTACGAGTTTTAATAGGACAACTTTCTCATTCTAGGAAACATGTTAATGGACCAATGTCGAAACACATCCAAAGCATGTATACCCATCCTGGGTGTAAAGATCAAAGGTATACACAGGCTCTTTAAGAAATTCCGTCAAAACTGCAGCAAAACTTCCTTACTCTTGCACTGTAACTCAACTGCAATAAAGATAAACAGACAATTTGCTTAGTTTATTACTAATAATGTCAACCTGCCTAACTTAGTTGTCTTTCCTGCAAGAGAACAGCTGTGCAGAATGCACTTAACCATCCAAAACCTGTCTACTATTTGTGCACCATTTGCCTATGGTCTTTGAGCTGTTGGGAAAATATCTGGGTAGTGCAAAGGCAGCTCCAATTCTGAAAATGTGGCACCAATTAAAACAACAGTATTTTTTCAAATGCAATTTGGAAGCACATTTTAATAGGGAATTTGGAGAGATAGTAAGGTCTGCCTGGTAAAAATGCCAAATTATGTCGAGTACATGTAGTTCAATAAAAGTCAGCTTGACTCACTTAGCTGAAAACACATCTCTTTCAGAAAGTTACGGGCTCAAGTTCCACAAATTAGCCTGACACATTAACTTCATCCTGAAGTTATGATCCAATTGCTGTCCTTTCAGGGAAATATGTCCTTAAGTGTCAAGAACTAGTATCTGTGATCATTCTATGATATCACGTGGATTTAAAAATATCTCTGGAACCATCTGATATAAAAAAAATTCCAAGCACTGCACTGAAGAAGTTTCCTCCCTTAAGCTTATCAGCACCAGCTAAAAAAAAACAATTTATAAATTATTTTATCCAAGTGCCATTTGTGGAAACATGTAGGCAAAATAGTTACTACATATGCCCACACAACAAGAGTTTGAAGCTTTTAAGGCTTGTACTGCCTCTTGCCAAATAACCATTTCAAGATTTTAAAGGAAAATTTCCCTGAAACATAATATTTTACCAGCATTGGCACAGTATAATACACAGGTCCTCAACCTTCAAGATGCACAAGTGTCTTCAATGTGTCCTTTCCATTTTAAAGCTATGGAGTTAAATAGTTACATGTTCTTTTAGTATTTCTCAGCTAAAGGTGTTCCAGTTTCTTTAATGTGTTTTGGTAGTGTGCCAAATACTTTAATTATATCTCTCATGATACAAATTGTGGTTAGAAAGCAAACTTCAAGGAGCTAAAGTCTACAAAAGGGAACAGATAACAGAATGTTAGCCTTTGTTACAAAATGGATGGGGTTTATTTTTATTCACATAGGCTTTGATGGCTAGGCCAGCATTTACTATCCACTCCTAGTTGGCTTTGAGAAGGTGTGAATGAGTTGCCAAATGGCCTATACCTGCTCCTACTTCTTGTGCTACGTAATCTAGTAGGAATATAGGTCACTACAGATACATTTAGGGCTTTCCTTATGATCAATGAGTCTTCTCCAAAATAAGTCACAGTTTGCTAAAATTATTTAATTCAGGGGGCCCCATCATTTCAACTTTTACTGTAAGTATACATCAAAACTGAATCACCAATTTCCAGACAAGGCACTTTTCCCAGTTGATGTTGTTTGTCCATCTTCAAATATGATCAAAGAGCATAAAAGTAGTAGGAACCAGTCAACTCATTATTCAGAGACCGCAAGCCCCTTATGAATTTTCAATTAGATTACCTTTCATTCATATAAACACCAGGAAATACAAGTCACATCGACTCACTCTCCCTTTATAGGTCAATCCCCTTATCCCACTCTAGTGATCCCGAATTGTACCAGGGGTAAGCCATTCAGCTCAAGTCTACACCGCCATTCCACAGATAAATATGCCTTTCTTTTAGTATGGAGATCGAAAGTGCACAATGAACTCCAGGTGTGGTCGCACAAACGCCCTCTACAATTTTATTAAGATTTCTTTCCTCTTATCCTCTACTCCTCTTGCAAAAGTTAACATCCCATTTGCCAAACAGCACATCATTTATGCATAACAACATTGAAATTTCAAGGACACCCTGATCTTCTGAATACCTGTTTCCCAGACCTCAACATTCAAAAATATTTTCTTTTTATCTTTATATTTTCCACCAAACATACTCTTTCATCTGCCTTCTTCTTAGTCACTCAACCTGCACATTTAGCCATTTTGTATCCTTCACACTGCTTATTTTTCCATCTAACAATGTGCCATCAGTGAATGCAGCATACACAAGTTTATCTTCCTAATCTAAATCATCAATATAGATTGTAGCTGGCCAAAGTCCAATGTTTATCCTTGCAGTATACTGTTATTTACAGCCTACCAGCTCAAAAATACTCCATTTAGTGCTACTGCTTTATGTCCATTAATCTACAATCAATAATTAATTATGTTAAAGATATATTATAAATATAAGGTTTATTGCAGGTTGCTCCAAGATAGGTCAACTTTTTGGATCTTTGGGGAGAAGAACAATGAACATGGACAGGTCTCGAGACTATATAAATTCCTAAAAGATGTGAAATCTGATTTTATTTCTTACCATTTAACTCATTCTTTACTAGGCTAGAACAAACTGCCTCTGTTGACCCTGTTCTCTATGTACAGGTAAGAATCAAATGTTTCGAAAGTCAGGATCTTATATTTGGTTCAGATACATAAAATTTTCTGCCAAAATGCACCAATTTTCTCAAACTGGTCATAGTCTAATTATTTTGAGCTGGTAATAAGTGTGTCAAAACCAGTCAGTCAATCATTAGTTTAGAGTATCCATATTCAAGGCAATATCAAGTTATTCTGACGGATGTTTAATACATTTTTACTGAAGGTTCTTACGTTCAAAGAATTCACGTAAATTAATCTTTTTAAAAAATGGTCATATTGTCAGTTTAAGAACAATACGTCTTCAGTTCATCCAACAACTGATCAAAAAAACCCTTCCCTTCATTCTTCTTGAATTTGAAATATCCAGCAGTAACTGAAGTTTTGGGGCAAGTTGTTTTCCTAACTCGAGCTCTTTCTTTTTCCACCTTAACCTGCCAAAGTTTATCATTAAATTATAAATTGGACTTCCGTAATTTTCTGACTTCCCAACTGATTGACTCACACGAAGAATACCAAAGCAATAAACTGTGCTCCCAGGAGTGTTTTTAACAGTTCTGCAGTGAAATCAGCCCTAATTAATGCAAGCACTGTGTTAAACCATTATTATACAGATCAGAGACAATTGATTTGCCACACAGTTCATAGTGTTGTAGTTAAAAGCGGGAGGACTCTTGTGTAACAGTGGTAGCGGCCCTACCTCTGAGCCTGGATACCTGGGGTCAGGCCCCACCTGCTCCAGAAACGTGTAATAACATCTCTGAACAAGTTAATCAGGAAACATCTTAAAGTCAAATATCTTAAAGCACTTTCTCTCATCTTCTTTGAGGAGATCTTTGTTTTCCTTTGGTTTTAGGTCATTATTCATGTTAATACCAAGAAATCATATATTGTTTCAAAGCAGAAACATTGCACAGGTGTATATAAAGAACATTAGAAAAAGAAGCAACTTGTAGCACAACCTTTTTCATCACAAGAGCTTTATCCATGTGTTAATCACACATTTACCCAAAACTAGCAGAATTAGGCTTTCCCTAACCTTGGTATGTATTGGCTGTTTAAAATAATTAACTCTTCTCCTTTGCACAGCTGTAATTTTCATGAATGGTAGAGATGTGCAGCAGCTATAGTGCTTTTATTTCAATGTAAGATGTTTGCACAAACGGAGCTAACTGAACACTGCATGTTGCATTTATCCTCAAGTCTGCCTCCTTAAAAAAGGAATACAGATTCAATTACTAATCCATGCACAAATGTTTGCAAGATTCTGTACAGTACAAGTGCAGCACAACACTCACTATATAAATCTGTTTCATCCAAGATTTCTGATTTGATAATTTCTTCAATTACATCCTCTAGTGTGACGACACCTAGAACCTCGTAAAATGGATCCCCCTCGCCTTCATTGTTCACTCTCTGCACTATTGCCAGATGGGATTTACCTACAAAGAGTGGAAAGAAGAAATGAATTTGAATGCGAAGATAATTTTGATGTATGATAAAATTAAAGCACACACACTGGAAGAACCAAGTTTACTGCTTCACACAGACAGAAACCTGTTCTTGCTCAAATTCATCATCATTAATATTCATTGATTCAATTACCTTAAAAACTATAGGAGTCCTATGTGAACAAGGAGAGAGTCACTAAGAAATAAGCAGCTAGATTAGATTTAGAAATATAATAATATTGCAAAAGAATTAAGTTAAAATTAAACTATTTTTGATCTATTCCCACTGCAAAGGCATAATAAAATGTGAACCAAAGCAAATGCATACCTGCAGTCTAATCATATCCATTTATAGAAATACAAAAATGCTTTTGCAAAAGATTCAGCTCAATGCATTGATAGAATATAGGGGAGCAGACATATCCAGAACAGTTAACAGGTTAAAAGTGAGATAACAATATTCTCAAGCTCCTTTACTTAACTAATGCTTCCAAGTACATACAATGATCCTGAGGAAAGTAGGGAAATAACCAGTGAAGATTCTAGAAATAATATTACAGACAGGTTCAAATAAGAATGATATGCTCTGGAGGGTTAGAGTATTTAAAATAACACTCAGTCATATTCAGACAGAGGTAACTTGGCAATTTACAGGTCAGTTCGTTTAACATGGGCAAGGGAACATTTTGGAATATTCAATTACAGATACAACTACTGCGACAAAATATTTAGATGGAAAAAATAATCTCAATACAGATTCAGAAAGTAATGTTAAGCTTGGCAAACCTTACGCAAGTTCATTAAGCAGATGTTAGATAATGGAAGATGAAAAGAAATGAATGTGAATATAAGGGCTTTGACACAGTATTATACAGAAGAGGAGAAGGGCAGCAACACAGATCAAAACTAATAGAACAGATATAAACACAGCTTCTTAGAGTAACTGGAAGCACAGTGCACAATGCTGTCTTGGTACCACTCCCGTTCAGGGAGCATATCAATAGTTTAAATTTTAGATGAAGAATATCTCGTCCAGATTTGCAAGTGATGCTAAATAACAAGAAACATAAGAAATTCTGAGGATCATAGGAGCTGAAGTAAAGCAGCAAGTAGAATTCAAAATTATACATAAGTTGGTGCACTTTTGTAAAAGGACATTTATATATTGAATGAACGGGTTGAGGAATTTATGTGACTTGGTGCGCATGGATTTGGAGATTCAAATTTCTAAGACATTAAGCGGATAAGGTTCCAAAATATAGAATACTGGGCTTAATGGCAAAAAGTATACGAGATTTTAAAAAAAAAAAATCAAGATTTAAGAGTCAAAGAGTACAGAAACAGACCTTTCGGTCCAACACGTCCACACCGACCAAGTTTCCCAAGCTAAAATTTGTTCCACTTTCCTGCATTTGGCCCATATCTCTCTAAACCTTTCCTATTCATGTACCTGTCCAAATGTCTTTTAAATATTCTAACTGTACCTGCATCTACCACTTCCTCTGGCAGTTCAATTCACATGCAAACCACCCTCTGTGAAAACATTGCTCCTCAGGTCCCCTTTAAATCTCACCTTAAAAATATGTCCCCTAGTTTTGAACTTCCCGAACCTCAAGAAAAGACCTTTCCTATTCAGCTTATCACATATCTATATATTTGCAAAATAAGACTGCAGATGGAGTTTTGCATGCAATTTTAGCCTCTACACCGTAGCAAAGATATTGAGGCAATTGAGAGAACACTGTATATTTTCAAGAGATGATTCCTGCTAAAATAAAACCCAAATAAAAGAACAGGCTTGTAAATGTAGGACTGTTTTCATTGTAGGTTAATGTTGATTTTAGAAATCTTCTTAAAATTAAGAAAAGCAGGATAGAGTAGATGGATTTGCATGATTTCACTAGTTTAAATTGATAATAGCATATATAATGTAATAAAGCTTTCCAAGGAACTTCACAGGTACGTTATAAAACAAAGTATAAAACTATGACATTGAACGTGTAATATTACGTCAGGTGCTCAAAAGCTGACCAAAAAGGTAGATTTTAAGAGGTGTCTAAGAGGAAGAAAGTGACATACAGTGTGTTGGGGAGCGAATTCCAGAGCAATTGAAGGCATAGACACCTTTGGAGTAGCAATTAAAATTGTGGATATGCACCAGGCCAAATTTACAGCAGTGTTGGTATCTCAGTGGTTGTAGCACTGGAGGATATCACAGAGATTGTAGGGGTGAGGTCATTGAAGGCTTTGAAAAGATGGCGACAATTTATAACTGGACTGTTAATCCAAATAATGTGCTGGGGACTCTGATTTGAATTCTGCCACGTGGCAGGTGGAATTTGAATTCAAGGAACATTTGGAATTAAGAGTCTAATGATGACCACTGATGTCTTTTAGGGAAGAAATCTGCCATCCTTACCTGCTCTGACCTACATGTGACTCCAGATTCTTAAGTGCCCTCTGGGCAATTAGGAATGGGCAATGAACGCTGGCCTACGCAGTGACACACTCATTCTGTGAATGAATAATTTTTAAAAAAACACTGTTTGACCTAGGGGTCAGCAAGCACAAGGGTGATACAGGAGTACTTCAGGAGTAGCAGTTTTGTACGACCTCAAGCATGTAGTAGACCAGCCAGAAGTACATTGTAATTGTCAATTCCAGGGACAACAGAGGCACGGTTTCAGCTGCAGATGAACCAATACAGTACACAATTGCAGCTTTGGTTAACGAATGGGAGATCAAAAGTTCATCTCAGGATCAAACATAACAAAGTTCTGAACAGACTCTCAGGTAGCTACAGGTTGAAGCTGGCAGTGAAGACCAAAAGCATTGGCTTCAGACTTCCCAATATTTAAATCCAAGAAATGTCTTCTTATGCAGAAGATGATGTCAATGAGGAGTCTGATAATTTAGCACTGGTGAAGAATCGAGAGAAGTGGCAGTCAAGTAGAGTCATCAATGTAAGTGAAAGCTCATGCTGTGCTTATGGATGACATCAGGCTGGGGAACTTGTGGATGAGAAATTAGAATGGGCCAACAACAGATTTCTTGAGGGAATTCCAGACAAAACAGTGCAAGAGCAGAAAGAGAAACTACTGCAGGTCATTTTCTGGCCACAATTAGATATCCAAGAAGAGGGCCAGGGGTAGGTACTCTGGCCAAGCAGGATGACAGGCTTGCAGGAGGATGGCATAGTACATTATGTCAATGACTACATACTGTACGAGATGGATGAGGAAGCAAAGTTCACTTTTGTCATAATCACATACCATTGCCACAAATGACATTTTAAGTGCTGATTTGGTACATAGTAGGGACATAAATTTGCTTAGAGAGATTTCTGGTAAATGAAGTGTGTTAAATGACAGGGCATAGATATAGAATTAAAATCCAAGAGATGCAGGGCAGAATGTAAGAGATACGTCTTCCTTTATACAAAGGTGAAGGAGAGAATGTAGGAGTTAAACACCTACAAGTACTACTGGAGCAAAATGTCCATTTCTGTACTGTATGTTTAATGAGATTTTGAATTCAAAATCACTGGTTGACTGAACCAAAACTATTTCATCCCGAAAAATAGAATAAATTACCTGGATTAAACATCAGTTTATGGGTTAATTTAGACAGCTCACATTTTAGAAATATTTGGTGCTCTGTTGATTGGTTCAATTCTTTCATTTAACAAACAAATAAGTTACAAGTCAACATTAATTACCACATCAGCTTCAATTTAAACATTCATTTTCTTGGAAAATTGTGCAATTAGAAAAAAGCTTATGAAAATTTCTGGTTAACTTCACAGTATATTCATTATTTACAAAGGATCGGACACAATATTTTAGAAATCAGGTTTCCAATTACAGTCTATTTACATGAATGAATGGAATATTTTGAGATGCAGATTATCGGAATTTTAAAAATTTATAATTCAGTGTAAGAAGCACAACAATTGGATAGTCACCCTATATCGTGACCACTTACAAATGTTTTTGCTACTGCATATTATTAATGGTCATTCTGGAATGCAACTTCAGCCCACCCGACTTCCTTTTGAAATAAAGGAAAGTGGAGTCAATTATAAATACCAGTCATGGCAACGGACAAATGCTGAAGGCATGTTAAGCTATTCACGTCACTTATCAGAGGACACAAATGGGACAATAAAAGGAGTGTAACGGAAAATACGGCAAAGATACAACTGATATAGCAACCATAGGTTTTCACAAAACGCAATTTTATCAAAAAGATAAGTCCAAGCCACAAGTACGCACTTTTTTGGGACACCCCAAAATATTTCACACAGACAATAGGTTGAAGTACAATGAATGTTATTTAGAAATAATGGCAGTCAAATTGCAAACAAATGCCCACTACAAACAAAATGATCTGTTAATCTGTTAAATGGGCAGATTAGCTTTTGGTTATCTTCTCATCTAAAAATCTCTACATGCCATAATATAGCTTTCCCTAAGTATACTTTGAAATAGCAGACCTGATTATTTATGTAAGTTAGTTCTGCTATGACGCATGTCCTGGCAACACGAATTGGCTATAACACGATTCCATTGGTGGGCAGAGGAGTACATATCGACATCACATTATCGTTTCGCAGGCTTTATCCTGAGCATGCACAATGTCAGCGCTATACTCAAGTCCTGGAGTGACAATGCCATTGAGATTACTAAACATGGTAAACTTGATTTCAAAACTTGTTCACTTAATTATGTAAAGCAAAATATATATTTTCACATTGGAGTTATTTGGGGTGGTATTTATACAATGAGGAATTTAGGTGCTGGATTTCAAATTGAATATAAAGCAAGCTAAATCAATCATACACACCAGTTAAACATTTTTGTACTCTGCAGCCAAGACATAGCATCATCAATTTTTCAGATTAATACAAAACACATTAAGTTATATGTGGCAGTTCAAATAATACCGTATTATCAAGAGGAAAAACACAGTTCATATTTCCGTCTTAATTG